ACTATAGAAAGTTCTGTGAATATGCTTATTTACTAAGGGACCGTTAAAATATAGTGTAAGTTTCGGCAATCCTGTAGTGCTGAAGTTAGCGCTCGAGACAACTTGAAACTTGAGAAATTTATACGCTCAGTCTGGAACATCGACGTGAATTCTAAAGAACATATTTTGGTGTCGTTGAAATAAGATAAACAAGCAACTTTATCTATCACAAAACTTACAATATACGTAGTTTTAATTAATATTTTATATTATCTATACATATAATAAAATTCTGAGTCGAATCTGTACATTAAATATTTTTTGGACAATCTTATTCAAATAGTCATTATTATCGATACAGAGGCCGAATCTATAGTTTTAGATTTTTGGCTGTTTGTCTGTCTATCTGGCAACGCATCACGAGAAAACCACTGAACAGATTTTGAGAAAATTTAGTATGATGGTAGCTGGTTATATGGGGCCACATATAGGATACTTTTTACTGCGGGAAAATATCTCATCTCTGAGAAATCTTTACTAACCGTTACTACGTATCTATAAAGCTTACTTACAAAATGTACTAATAAGTTTTTATATATAAAGCTACAATCAAGACATAATATTATTATTTCATTCTTGGAGTATCACAATAAAAGAAAAAATCACTTCTGTATATTCAAATAAGAGTCATTGACATTAAATTATTCGGCAATATCAATTATATCTATGAGGAGTCGCGGACACGAGCTAGTCACAATAATGTGTACAATAAATGAGAAAGATATGTTTATTACTTTTTCGTTTAGGCTAGACGGATTTAGATAAAATTTAGTAATCAGACCTAAAACAGTACATAGGCAATTTTTTAAAATAAAATAATTCAAAAGATAGCGCTTATCGTTTGACAAACAATGAACACGTATTATATCTATACAGATAAATAAAATTGAAGTGTATGTTTGTAATGTCAAAATATTTTCTTTTACTATATGCATATGAAATTATTACAGTGTTTATAAGAAAAACACTATTTTTAAAATGTTTATCTATCTGTCTGTTTGTTTTGGCTAATCTCCGAAACGGAGGAGGTAAGTTAAATATAAAGAAAAATCGATGTTTTGTATTAAGTCGCAAAATTCATTATATGATGTACGAAAGACTAATCGATTTCTTAATGAACAAAGAACTAGTACAGTTTCATCAGGCGCATTACCGCAATAACAATTAAAACAGCATTAGTGTGCCAACTACACTTTAGGTTCTAATTTTAGCTTAAACTTTGGGTCTTAAGAACGTATAAAATTGTAATAAAAGAGTTAACATGCTTAGTAATTTTAATAACTATTAAAGACTTGTTTTCATAGAGACCGTACGTATAAGATGATCGCGACCGCAACCAACAATTTCTATTTAATACAACTAACTTAAATTATAAACTACGAGTATCACTACAAAGTATCTAGTGAATATCATGTTTAAAATAATTTACAACGATTTGAAATTCTATGACAATTTTCGGATTATTTTTGATACTTAATAAAGTCTATTCCTTTGAGATCTGAGAGAAATCTTAAGAAAATGTACACTCGTGCAAACAAAAAATTCGTACTATTCCAACTACAATTATAATATATGGAAAGTTTGCACGTATGTATGTTTGTTATTGCTTAACGCTGAAACGGCTGGACGAATTCGGATGAAATTTAGTACACAGATAGATTATAATCTAAACTCTGGAGTAACACATAGGCTACCTAAGTGCAAACACGAGCGAAGCAAGGGTAAGTCGCTAGTAAGATTAAAAATATAATGAAACTACGTTATTTCCGCGCTAAAAGCATTCCCCTGTCAACGATTAATGCGAGCCGGCGCGATGAGGACTTAATGACTTGATGCACAATTTTCCTACAAAATTGTAAAAGAGGTTTTATTTGATCACTGAAGTGAGGTAATGCCCCATTTCTTATTATTAAGATCCTAAGTTACGAAATTAAAATATTTTCTTTGAAGAATCCATTTCTATTAAATAAAACTACTTATGAGACGTCAAAAGTTTGAGTCTCTCTCGTAAAGCATATGTCAGAAAAAAAAATTAAAATAAAACTGTGAATAAATAGTTATTAAAAAATTGTGTTTTTTATATCAAATATCCTGAAAGATCCCTCCAATCTCTATACCAAAGTTCTTCAAAATTGGTTTAGCGGTTTAAGTATGTAAACAACAAACAAACAGTGATGTTCCAGTACTAAAAACGCTATCCGATTAACTCAGCCTTCAGTTTTTATATACACCCATTGAATAATTTCATTTAAAACGACTCGATCATTTCGTACAGACGTACTGCATCCAGCAGTGCAAGTTATGCATTGTAAAGTTAATTTTGGTATGCACAAGAAACTTGTACCTTTATTTTATATACGATGAAGAGCTAAATTATGGCGTAAAATTATGTATTACTTATTTGCAATATTACTATGACCATGACGTTAAAACTCACTAAACAAATATTTTGATTTAAGTAAAATTTTATATATTTCTGAATTATACGCATCGATAAAAAATTACTAGATACACAATCCCATGCAAAAGTTCTCTTAAAACTGTTAACAATTGTGTTTATGTAATTACTCTAGTTGAAATAAATATACAACAATGTAAATTGTACCTTAAATGCAATACTTACAGTTGATTTCGTAAAAAAAAGCACGCTCAAAATTTCAAAAGTGCGCTCATTCGGTGAGGACATTTTTTGTCGCTGATTGTGTATTAGTACTTTTTTGATTAATTATTATACGTAATTATATCAACTTGATTACTAAAACACAAAGTCAAAGTAAAACGAATATGTATCCCATAACTAAGTTATTAAGTCGAATATTTATATAAAATTTAAAAATACTTAAACTTCAAAAGAGTCTAATAAAGTATTACTAGCTAATATTTATAGTACATTCTGTTAATATAAAACTCGTAAATTAGTATATAAAGTGTATGACATTTCCACAGTGACGGTCACAGGTTAGCGAATGAAACAAGCTGTTAGTAAAGAAACCATTTATTGCCCAACTAGCACGTGTATTTTACAAACATACATTGAAAACCCAAAGGCAGAGTAAATGTTGGTACCAAAGTAATCAATTTAGTATAGGAGAGCTAAACTAATACATTAGATTTCATTTATAATACGTAATATGAAAAAAATATATAGGTATTTACTATAATAATACATAATTTTGAACTTAACAGATTAAGTGTTACTAGCAACCACCCGTATTGCCCACGCTTTTAAATATATTTATTAAAAGAAACATAAAATTTTGAGAGTGCATAGAAGAGAGATTAAGTTTCATTTTTGGATCAAAACAACAGAAATATGTAATTACAAGATACGACCAATGTTTTTAATTTCAACTACTGTTGCTCGATAGTAAAGTTCATTGGTGCTCCAGCCATCTTTTATAAACCAACTAAACAAAAAGACGGACTGAAGCTGAGATAAGCACTATCAACACAGATTGACTTACTGTAAATATTTATATAACAATAAATATATTACTTTCTTAGATTTACGCGAATATTTGACATTTTAAATAAAACTATCTTTTCGGATTTTGTCGCGGATTTATTTGTATGTATTTTTGTTTCCCGACGTTTCGAATGCTTTACAGCATCCATGGTCACGGGAGAGACTGAGGTGTTACATGTCTTAAAGATATAGTTGTTACAGACAGCCTACCCACAATTAACAAAATGAAAATTGCACCAATTACATTACAATATTTTAACTTTAAATATTTTTATAATTTTAATTATAATTGAATATGTAAAATTATTTATTTAATTTTTGCTATTTTTTTTTTTTATAATTATTACAATTTTAAAAATATTAATTAGCAATCTATATTTAGTGTTGCCATTATTATATTTATAACCATAAGAAAAATATAAAATATAGTATTAATTATTTAAGCCACAATTGATCTATGTGTAATTTGAAAAAGTTAAGATTAATTAAAAAATAATAATTTTAATTTAAATTTGCTATTATTTAAAAACAAATTATTAAGCGACACATTACTACATACATTTACAAATGAAAAAGTGAAAAAATATTATTAATCAGAAATGCTATCATTTTGATCTACACAGTAAGAACTTACTACATCTACCTGTCTGTTATGTTTAGATTTATTATTAGATTTTATTATATTAATAACAGGATCCCATGACGATGGTAGTACCCAGCCATCTTCCCTATTGAAATTAGGATGTTTTTTAATTTCTATGGCTTCTCGAATCATTCTAGGGCGATATCGGTATTGTAATAATTATAAAAATAATAGCAAAAATTAAATAAATAACTTTCCATATTCAATTATAATTAAAATTATAAAAATATTTAAAGTTAAAATATTGTAATGTAATTGGTGCAATTTTCATTTTGTTAATTGTGGGTAGGCTGTCTGTAACAACTATATCTTTAAGACATGTAACACCTCAGTCTCTCCCGTGACCATGGATGCTGTAAAGCATTCGAAACGTCGGGAAACAAAAATACAAATAAATCCGCGACAAAATCCGCAAAGATAGTTTTATTTAAAATAAATATATTGTTAAAAATTTAATTGAATTCGATAATATTGTACATAAAAACAATAAATAATACTATGTACTTGGAACCAACATTTGCTCCAACTTCTCACCCAACACCCAATGTTAGTAGCCAAACCACTACCTATTATTACCTATTGTTACATTGAAGCGTGAACTTTGCTTTTTTAAGTACAAAATAAATTATTACTATCATACATTCAATGAAAAAAATGTTCGCTATTACAGAAAATACCGATTTCACCATCGAAATTTTAATACTACGCAAAAAAAATCCCAAAGCCCAAATATTATATGTATTTATACATTATACCAATGCTATTCGTTTACTTCAGGTAGCCTAATTCAAACCAAATGTCAAATAATCATACTAAAATAAAAACAAAATCCACGTTTCAACGCACACACTAAGTGACTCCCACACGCAATAAAAACTTACCCAATTGTGAATCTGCTGACTTTTCGCTCTCGGACCTTTCACTGGACGCTCTATTAGAATTAGATGGCGCCCGAACTGGGGCAATGTCTTTTTTGGAATTCTCCTTAATAAATGACCAATCTTCCTTCAATTTTAACACCCGTTCCTTCACTTCGGGTGAAACGGTCTGTTTTGCGGCCACACATTCTCGTTCGATGTTGTTGTAGTTTTCGAGCACTTCGTGTATTTCCGTCTGTTTGTCCTTAATGATGGTCTGAAACAATATTGTTTTATTGCTGAATATTCCTAGCTTAAGCTGCCGACTAACAATTAAGACAGTTTCAGTGGATAAAATAGTCTAACTGGATCATAAAACAATAAAGTTTCCTACTCTTTCATACGTAAATTACTCAACTGATTTTGATGAAATTTTACATTATTATAGCTTACACGTCAAAAGTAAAACATAAGCTATAATTTATTAAGATGTAGTAATAAATTAATGTACTTGCGGGCAAAAAAGCCATGGGAGAACGCTAGTAGCATATAAAGAGAAACCTAAAAAAATTATAGGTAAAAATTATTTTTAACTTCTCTCGTTATGTTTTAATTGCAGGAAACTAATCAAAAAATATACGAAACATGTCTCTATTGAGTAAGGGAAAGGTAAACAATATAATTCATATATAGGAGACCCCCGCCAAAAGGCACGCCGAACTGTGGAACATCCTATAACTTCCTTTATATGTATAATTGTTTAAGTATTTTTAGTTTAATTGGCAAACATTTGAACCAAATTTGGAAAGAAATAGCTTATTATTATATTATTATAGAAACAACACAATGCCTAATTGTTTTAACCCATGAAGTCAACCAGTTATTAAACTATAACAAACTATTATTAACCGTACTTACATCCAAATCCTGTGCAGTAGCTGGGGGCACCTCATCGGCCAGGGCCAGCCTCGCGCGCGTCTCCATCGCCCAGGCGAGGGCGGCGTCGAGACGCGTCGTGTATTTACCTAGCGCGGTCAATTTGCTCTTCACGTATTCACCGTGAGCCGATAGATTAGATTGGGCCTGTTAATAAATGAATAAGTTTTAATGATGAAACGAACATATTTTATGGCATCGGGTGAGTTCATAGGTGCCTGACAGACTATGCATGTAAGTATAGGCATAAACTATATAAATATTATCAAAATGCATCAGCCCGTTTCAGAATGAAGAAATAACAAACATACATACAGACACATCCAAACATTAGTATGTATAAGTTGTATGTAGATTGTAGATATTGGTACATGCATAAAAAGTAGTCTATAATATGTCAATTCTCGATATTAGCTACGTCCAATCCGAATATATTGACCTTTACAACTATATAACCTTTGAGACGTCTAAACCCTTAAGTCTCTCCCATGACCATGTGCGCTGTAAAGCATTCGAAACGTCGGGAACCAAAAGTCAAAATAAATCCGCGAAAAGATCGTTTTATTTAACTCGAATCTGTCACTCACAATTTTTGCATAGGTATACACCCGTATATTTTCGCGCAGATAAAAATTATGTACACAAAAATTTTAAGAAAAATAATGTTTATTTCGAGAATAATTGAGTGACAATCGCTGAAACAATAATAATATTAAATAGCACTATATATGTATTAATAAAAGAATGATTGTATGTTAAATTTATAGTGTGTATTATTATGCATACAATATGATTCGATGCGGTTTCTTAGGCATACATCTTGCATTTTTCTTTCTAATTTTCTTTATATATCACCCAAAAAGAACTAAGAATTCCAAAACGCAAAGAAAAAGCTTTAACGAGTTTTGTTAAGCATTTACTTAAAAGTGCTAGTTTTATCTTATTTTTATTATCTCAGAAGACAATATTTCGTGTTTATCTGCAAATAAACTTGGAAGATTTGTTGTAGAAGTACGCTTCCGGAATTTAAACGTGTATTCAGCAAACAGCGGCTTATCGCAGATATTTACTTAACTTCATTCAACTTGTCAAGATCGCGTCTTTGCCAGTATTAAAAGAAGTTACGTTGTGAGTAGCTGATGTTTTGGGAACTTAATAAACTATTCAACTTCACTTGTTTTAAACTAAATTTTGTAACATTTTATTAAAGATTTAGTTCTTAACTCCTCCAGGTAAATTTCTAAGATCCATGGTAAGCTACGAGGCTTGTGTTATGGATACCAGATAGTTGATACACTACACATATATATATAACTTAAAATACATACATATTATAAATATAAACACCCATGACTGGAGTACAAACATTCGTGCTCATCACACAAATGAATGCCCCCAGCGGGAGTCGAACCCGCGACCGCTGGCGCAGCAAGTAGGATCTCTACAAAAATGCCGTCAAATATTTATATCTGCCGTGCATTTATATTAATATCTGAGTAATAATTGAATAACTGAGTGATAATTGGATATCTGAGTATTCCTAGTTACCTGTAGACCCTGGAAAGGATATAGGATAGTTTTTATGCCGGACATCATCCCTTAAGCAGGTGAAAATGGGGATGCAAATTTGTATGGGGAAGCAACCTAGGGACGAACCCGAGCGAAGCGAGGATGAGTCGCTGGTACATACATAAAACTATCGCTTGAATTTATACGTTCAATAATGTTCATGTGTTTAGTTAAGGAATACTTCTCATAGAACTAGTGTAAATAGAAAAGTACTACGATTATCTTAACTTAAAGAGCTTATATACGAATATAACATAAAATATGGCAGTTCACGAGTTTAATATGAACTACGAACATTAGACATTAAGTTAGGAACGAGCACGATCACGAGCGCAGACGTGGGGCGGTGAGGGCCGTCGAGTGTAGCCGCGAGAGTTACTCAAGCATTGTGACTCAACTGCTAATTAGGTATCCACTACAGGATGTTGCTATTCACCTAACATTATACGTGTGCAGATGTTCTGCGAAAATGTTTTGTCGCTTCTTTTCATACTTGGTACAATGGCATACAGATTTAACTTCCGTTTGCTGCTAACTACTGGGTAAGGTTGACTGGTATATTTGTTTCACTGTGAAAAGGCGTAGGGAAGTGACGACCCCACCGCCCGCTGGTAGGCTACACTACCAGTGCAGTCAGTCTATGGTTGATCCGCCATGCCTTTACACAAGACCACTTCGGTGTAGGAGGCGAGCACTGTCCGTAGACAAACGCACCCGGCTTCTACAGCGATGTGGCAAGGCACAGGGGAAGTGCCTCAAAGGGCGCACGCCAGGATACGTACAGTGGCGTATGGCCAATCTCCTGCAACCTCTGCTTTCCGCCGGTCGTATCGGCCATCCGGTCCACCGGCACTGGGAGGCCGAGGTCGAGAGAGTGGATCCGCACCTGCGCAACTGCCTATCCACTTAAATATATTCACGCGCAGATGACTCCTGCATGTTACCTGGTCTTCGAGCGCAAGCCCTGCGGCGATGGAGAGCCGATGGTGGGGGGAGGATCGGTGTGTCCAAACCTTAATTGGCATCTGCACGTAGGCGGTTGTCTGGTGATGGTCGCTCTGGGTCCCGATCGAGGCGGGGGACCGGTTCGGCAGCTCAGACGATGACAAAGCAGCCCTATTCAGGGAGCGCTCTGCTTTCCCCAATCCGGGGAGGGGCCTAGAAAAGGTGGCCCAAAAATAGCCCGTCTCATCCTCAAAGCAGATGGCAAACCGCGGTCATCTGTTCACCATCTTAATGCGGTCGAAAAATGAAACTTAAACAAAAAATAAAAGATCTTATAATAGGAACGTGGAACGTTCGTACTTTATTAGACAATGACGTAAACTTATGTCCGGAGAGAAAGACGGCTCTAATCGCGAGAGAATTGGCCAAATACAACATAGATATAGCTGCAATAAGCGAAACCCATCTTAGTGACTCAGGAGAGCTTTGCGAACAACTGGGAGGCTACACCTATTACTGGAGCGGGAAGCCAAGTACTGAGAGAGCAGCTAGTGGAGTCGGGTTTGCCGTAAAGAATCAGCTGGCAAAAACACTCAAAGAACTACCGAAAGGCATAAATGACAGAATAATAACACTTAGACTTCAGTTGTCATCAAAGAAGTACCTACATCTCATAAGTATATATGCCCCCACGCTGCCCTCTCCAGAAGAAGAAAAAATCAAATTCTACAGCGAGCTGAATCAAGTCCTGACTAAGATACCATCCACAGATAAGATAATTTTGTTCGGAGACTTTAACGCACGAGTTGGTAACGATTTCAGTGCTTGGAGTGGAGTTCTTGGTCGTCACGGTGTTGGTAAATGCAACGCCAATGGCTTCGATCTTCTCACTCTCTGTGCCGAATTTGATCTTACAATTACTAACACCTGTTACCGATTGCCAGAAAAGCTTAAGACCACGTGGATGCATCCAAGATCTAAGCACTGGCACCTCTTAGACTATGTGATAGTACGCAAGAGAGACCTCAATGAAGTACTTATCACTCGAGTAATGAGGGGTGCTCAGGGCTGGACCGATCATCGGCTAGTCCGATCAAAACTACGGTTCTACTTAAAAGCACCACGTCGAGCATCTCACAAGATCCCGGCAAAAATACACTGTGAAAAGCTTCTTCGCGACTCACATTTAAGACAAGAGCTAGATGATGCATTCTGCACCAGTATGCCAGAGACAAAAGAGGGTATGTCTATTGATGAGGAGTGGCGTTTATACGCTGAGAACCTTCACGCCTGTGCCTCACGAGTTATTGGGAAACCGGAAAAGAAAAATCAAGATTGGTTTGATGATTCCGAAGTGGAAATCAAGAAGCTCGTTGAGGACCACAGACGTACCCTTCTTTCGTCAGACGTCTCTGAGCGGAGAACTGCTAACCATAGCCTAAAAGTAAAAGTGCGTGCTCTCAAAGATAAATGGTGGGTAGACAAAGCCAATGAAATCCAACGTTATGCTGATACCAATCAGACTGGTAGATTTTTTGAGAGTCTCAAAGCTATTTTCGGCCCAAGATCTAAGAAAGTAGCTCCAATTTTCAACAGGGACAAGACTCAACGGCTTACTGAACAGAAAGATGTTCTTGCCCGATGGGCAGAACATTTTAATGACGTTCTTAACCCTAGTGCACAGACAGCTGACTTGTTGTTTATAGATTCCCTCGAAAGTTTACCGGTACTTGAAGACTTGGCAGAACCACCATCCTTTGATGACTTTATGAAGGCACTGGATAGGCTGAGAAATCACAAGGCACCTGGGGTAGATGGTTTACCGTCTGAATTATACAAATACAGCGGCCCTCACGTCAAAACCAGGTTATTCCAACTTATCCTGAAAATATGGGAGAGTGAAGTAGTTCCGCAGGATTGGAGAAATGCCTCCATCTGTAAATTGTACAAAGGCAAAGGCGACATCGCTGATTGCAGCTCGTACAGAGGTATCTCTCTTCTCTCAGTAGCTGGGAAAATCTTATCCCATATTATAAACACCCGTCTATCCCAACACGCAGAAACCATACTTTCCGAGACCCAGTGTGGTTTCCGGCCAGGACGAGGTACGGTAGATGCTATCTTTGTCGTAAGGCAAATCCAAGAAAAGAGCCTGGAACAATACCGTCCTCTTTATATGTGCTTTGTAGATCTGGAGAAAGCCTTTGACAGAGTCCCGCGTGAAGCCCTGTGGATAATGCTAAAGAAAATTGGCTGTCCTGGAAAGTTGTTAAACTTGATACGTCAGTTTCATGATAATATGACGGTTAAAGTTCGACATGAAAATGACTTTTCAGACCAAATACCAGTAACCAGTGGCGTGAAACAGGGCTGTGTCTTGGCTCCCACTCTGTTTTCTCTATACTTTGCCTTTGTTATGCGGGATGTGGTCAGAACTTGCAATAGTCAAATTGAAATTAGCTCCAGAACAGACAAGAGCATATTCGATCTATCCCGTTTCAGAGCTAAGAGACAAGTTTCCAAGCTCTCTGTTCTAGACGTTTTATATGCCGACGATGTTTGCCTTATGGCCGACTCAATAGAGTCTCTTCAAGCCTATGTAGACTCCTTATACATGTCGTGCCGCAGGTTTG